ACCATCGCTTATGGGCTTGGCCTTGGCCAGCGGCGGGTCCACCTTGGAGCCGGCTGGCATTGGCTCTATCGGACATGAGGGAAGCTTCTAGCAGCTTCTCACAGAAGCCACTCCTGTAGCGCCCCGCTGCCAAAACCTTGCCACGCAAACCCAATACAATTTCCCATCTTGATGGACACAGACTCAACCTGCCACTCCTTTGTTAGAAAACAGAGGAGTGGGGTCTTGAAGATGCAGGGTCTCAGAGACTGAGTCCATCTCTTGCCATCAAGGTCCAGATAGTGCTAATGATGCAAAAATTGATCATCATGAAGGATTTGATCAATCTGCAACAACTCCTTTACTCTTTAATAGCCACTTCCATGGGTACAGTGCCTCTACCTAACAAAGAACAATCATTTTGCCTACTTTCTCATCTTATGTAAAACAGCATAAAGACTTCCTAAAGGCACCAAATGACCTGCAGACACCAACTCTAAGAGCCCAGATCAGGCACATTCCTCATGTTCCTGAGCATTGAAACCAAATTCAAGGTGAAAAAGTAGACAGCTGCCTGCAACACAGAACAATTTTCATAAATATTTTGAAATAGCACTAAAAGTACTGATTTTTTCCCCCCCTGCTTTCTATCCAGCTTAACTCCATGAGACTTTTCAGAGGTGTCATGTATTCCCAAAGTTTTGACTTATAATTCAACATTTTTGGTCTTATTTTAGACCATTCTTTGAAAGCCATATAATGATCCTTCATGTGGTATGTTGGGGCAGAAAGCACTCAAAAAGTCATGTGACTACCTGTATAATCCAAAATTCTGTGTAGTGAAACAGAATAGACAGTTTTTGTAATGGAATATATCACTGTGTTGGGGGACTGGGGTACCACAATGATATAAACAACATAGGGCCCTGTACAAAAACCCAAAGATGGAAAAAGGGCAATATATTTTGGGGAAGAAAGGAGATGGGTGACTGAAATGATTAAGGAGACAAATACAGCATTGTTTTCATATTTCTATTTATCCTGGAAATATAGAACTCACAGGGTTTCTAAAAGATGGAAGAAAGGGAGAACTTGGAAATTCTATATTCAGTCAAGCTATTTGAAATCATTGAACTATTCAATTATTGCTTTTCCCTTTCCAGTTTTGGAAGAAAATGTGGCTTTGGATACCCTCATGGGATTGCATACATGGATAATAAGGACAAGCATCTGGCTTTTCATCTCCTGTTTTTACAACACTTTTGAATACCATGAGGAAAGAGTTATTTATTGGACTAAGTATTAGCAGTGTGAGGATAGATAAGCTTATATTTGGAAGTGGGACTACTCTCACAGTTGAACCAAGTAAGTATAATTATTTTATTTCTAAAAATTATGTTAAAATTAAGGTGGGGGAGGACAAAGGAATCTAATGGTTTGGGTTCACTGTCAGAATTTTCTGCTGCAATAATCCCTAGAGTGCACTCTCTCCAGCCAGAGTTTCAAGCTGAATCCTCAGGTTGTATCTGCTTAGGAAGGCTTTAGAGGAACAACTGGGCTACCTCTGTATATCAGCATTACTCCATGATCGTCAGCCACCTGGTGTGCACTACTTAAGTTTAACATGTTAAACGTGCTGTCTGGATAGCACTCTGGCCCAAATTTACTGTGAAGTGCCCTATCCGCCAGTGCATTTTCACTGTCTCAT